ACCCAGCCCCGAGCTATTGGACGAGGCGCGCCCTCTTGTCTGGAGCACCTGGCACTCGTGGGGGGAGGGGGGGTGGCACTGCAGAGATATCGTGGTCATCTGTCCCCTGCCCACCTTGCAGCCCTGCCGCGGGCCACCCAGCTTGCCTGAGCCTGGCCACGGACAGGGGCACCCATCCCTTGCGTCCTGGCCAAGTTGCAGGCCTAGGAGAGCGTTAGTGAAAGACCTGGCGCTGGTTGCCTCTCTCCAACCCCAGGTGGGGTCCTCAGAAACCCAGCATTTGGCCCCTATCCCCGCCGGATAGGCTGGCCAGGCCAGCCTCCCGCAGGAAATCCCCCCCGCCGCACCCCCGCTTAAGGTGGACCCAGCAGGGACAGCGCTAGGAGTGGGCGGGGTGGGCAACACTAGCCTCCACTGGTGGAGCAGTGAAGAGGGGATCTTGGCCAAGTACCACAGCCTCCCAGCCAATGTCATCATCTCCAGCCACTCCAACACGCCCCCAGTGCCCTGCCCCCAAATCCAGCCCATCAGCCCCTCCCAGTGGGGCCTGGCCCTTCCACTTGAGGGTCTGCTCCTTTCTAGCCAGAGCCTGGTGCCCCCTGCCTGCTGTGGGGTCCCTCCTGGCCACAGGAGTGGGCTTGCCAGGGCTGTAGGCTGTCAGAGAAAGGAGCCAGCACGGGTGCCTCCCCAGCACCATGGGAGCTCTGAGGAATCAGAGGGTCTTGGGACACTGGAGCAGACAACCCTCACCTTGGCCTTGGCCAGAGCACAAGCCAGCCACCCATGCCCACCCTGCCCCCCCCCCCCGCTCCTGCCCTTGCACCTCACAGGCTCCTCTTTGGCAGCACCCCCACTGCAGGGAGCCCTGGGGGCCAGGCTTGACTGTTTTTCTTGGAGAAAAACACCCAGGCTGACCCTAGAAAGTAGGCTCATGCCTGCTTGGTGAGATCCCTTTCTTGAGGCCTGGACTGAGGGGTTGGGGTAGGGGGTACAGATGGAACTAGTGCAGAGACCCAGCGAGGCTGGCACTAGCCTCTTGAGCAGGACAGATGCAGCCTCACTCAGTAGGGCCGCTGCTGAGTCTGCACTGGGAAGCTTTCTCTCCGGGAAGAGGAAGCAGGGCAGGAAGCAAGAGCCCATCTCCTTGCCCAGGTTCAGCAGGCCTGGAAGGAAAACTAACCAGCACTGCGCCCCTTGCACCATCTCCAACACCTGGGGGGCCTCACCCCACTCACCATCACCTCTGCCAAAAGCTAGACTGGCGACTTGTAGAGTCCCATGTGCAGCCATACCCAGCCTATTCCGTGCCCGGTGGGACCAACGCTCAAATGAATTGTTCTTTCTGCATTGTACACATGCCGCATCCTTGGACACACCTCCCACCATCAGGGATTTCCCTTTAGAGATCAGCCTTCCATACCCAGATGAAGGAAGACACAGCCTTGAGTTGACTGGAACCCAAAGCCAGGGACAAAACATTAAACACCCTTTCTCTGCTGCAAGGGGCATCCAACCATCCTAGCTAAGGCAGCTCAAGTCAATGGTGGGGACCCTGCCTTCCAAACACATCAATGTACCCAACTGACACTCATACTTGCTGGCGTGCAGTACAGAGCAAAGGGAGTAGGGCCCTAGAGGTGCCAGTGATCAGGGCCTCACCGTACAAGGGCTGAAGGCCATCCTCAGGTGGAAAGCCTCCTACTGCCTCCAGCACCCAAGCACCACAGCTCACAAGCTACAAGATAGCCAGTGAGAAGTTTGCACTCAGGTTTTTAAAAAACCAAGACCAACCAGGCAGAGTGGCTCACACCTATAATCCTAGCATTTTGGGAGGCTGAGGTGCAAGGATGCTGAGGCACACAGATTTGACCCAGTTCAAATCTGAGTTTGAACTGGGCAACATAGCAAGCCCTCATCTTAACAAAAAAAAAAAAAAATTAGCCGAGTGTGGTGATATATCCCAGTTACTTGAGGCTGAGGTGGAAGGATCGCCTGCGTCTAGGAGGCCAAGGCTGTGGTGAGCCTTGTGTCACCACACTGCAGCCTGGGTGACTGAGACCCCCAACTCAAAAATAATTTAAAAAAAAATCAAGAGCAACTGCCTTTGCAAGTGCATGCCCCAGAGGAACCAAGGACTGATATTTATATCAGACATGCAGTCATCAGACAGGACACAGCACACAGGAGAAGGCCCAGGCCCAGCTGGTGGGCTGATGGAGGGTGGAGCAGAAAGCAATTGTAAAGGGTATGCAGCACACTGTAAAGCGTCTCTAGTACATGTTAGTGACAAACAGCTACAGGGGACATGACCCAGTCCCTCTTGCCACCACTCCAGGGTCAGGTCCTAGCTCATTCCTCAGAGCCCCAGTTCTCCCCAGCAGTCAGGACCACATGCTTTAACACCTCCTGGACACTGAAATCTCTCCTCCCTACTTAGCTGTCTGCAGACAACCCATCACGACACACAAGCCCCCGTGGCATCTTTGGAAGCATCATCATATAAATCTCCTGCAGATGGCCACAATACACTGCCTAACTTGGACTTCAAGCCCAGGAGGCCAAGAGCCTGGAAAAAATGTCCTCCGAGGATGGTGGTGGAGGACGATAGGGTTTCCAACAGAAACAGAAGGTCTGTGGGGCTGAGGCCCACCTGGCACTGCACCAGACTAGAAGCACATGAGAGTGGCCCTTTCCTCTGCTGGGGCCATGGACCATGCCAGCCATTTTGCCAACAGGGGCTGAACAAAGTCAGCTTCTTCCAAGGCCCAGAGACCTGCCTGGTTGGTTGCTACCTCCCTGTACCAAAGCCACAGTGGTTTTCCTCCACTCCTGCCCCCAGGACACCCCCTCACAAAGCCTACCAACTCCTTGCCTCAGGGCAAAGAGGTGGCTATTTAGGCCTCAGAGGCAGCAAAGCATACCTCAGCCCTAGTGCCAACTCTGGTCCCACCTGGGCCCTCGGTGGCAAGCCCACACCAGATACCCAGGCCAGATCAGCTCAGACATAGCTGCGAGGCCCAGCAACACCAGTGTGCCTCCCAATAACCAGACTGTGGTGAGATGAGTGCCTGCTGTTGTTGCAACAGACTTGGACACATATACACAAGGCGCTCAGGAAAGACAGGGCCAAGAGGATCAGCAGCGTCATAGCGCAGGGACTTGCACACACGCAGTCCTGCCGTTTGTCCAGGTTCCAAATGTGTTTTTTATTCACTAGTTTTGATGACTATAAATAAGTGTTTCCACTATGGAAAAGAAAGTTAGCACAGTACATTTTCATGACTGGGGAATGATTTTCTGAAGTCATCTTCAGTAGGATAAAAACTTAGAAAAAAAAAACAATCTGAATGTTGGAATTCAGTTCTTTATATAAAGTCCCTTGCAAAAACAAAACAGAATAAAAACAAACCGAAAAGGAGAGCAGGGGCAAAATTTAAAAAGGAAAAATAACAAGAAAAAAAAGGAAAGGAAATAAAATAAGACGATTATTGCTTCTCCTCAGCCTCCTCCTTGGTCTCTTCCTTCACCGAGAGAGCCTCCAGCTTCTCTGCCACCTCGGCACCGTCGTCCTTGCCTGATCCTGCTGGAACACAGTGGCAGTGAGGAAACAGAAGCACCACGCAGCCCACTGCCCTTGCCGGCCTGGGCCTCTAGCCACCCACCACTCAGCAAACTCCTCCCGGTTATACCAGCTTGTCTTCTCAAAACCTAACATCCAAAGGAAGCAGTAGACAGACATGTCCACATGCTGCCTCAACTTGGCCAAGCTGCTCAGTGACATCTAGTCACTTGCTACCACAGCCACTGTCCAGTCCCAGAGCAGCAGGTGACCAAGTCCTCCAAGAGGACACAAGGGCCTTCTGAAGCACCTCTAGCCTCCGAGGAATCCCAAGCAGAACCTTCTTAACCAACTGCCTGGCCTGCTCATGAGGCTGGCAGCATTAGGCTTGTATCCCGCCGCATGTATCCCCAGGTGGCTGCATCGTCCTTAACAGGTCAGGCGGTCACAGCACCTGGAACGTTTCTCTGGCAGACGAAAAAAGCACCCGCCTGGGGCTGCAGTCGGGTGCAGAGTGAGTCTGCGAGAAAGTCCCCACCCACAGGCACCACATCACCTTTCTTTTCTCGCTCTTCGATTTCTTTCCTGCACTCTTCAAACTTTGTTTTGAATTTCTGTGCATCTGAGGAGAGAAGAGGGACAACCTCGTAAGAGCCAGGATTCACAGGGGACCTAATCCAAGGTCATTTCTGATCCAAGAGGGCTGGGCAGTTGGATACAGGTCTTGGGCTTCTGCACCAAGATCTGTAGAGATCTTTAACTGAGTCCCTCCCGGGTTGCTGCTGTGCTAAGCCCCGCCTCCCTTCACAGGACCTGGTGACAGCTGGGCAGACAGTAGAAGGCATGGGCCTTCAGGCAATAAAGGAGTGGGGCCTCCAAGCTGTAGGATCCACTTTTCACCAACCTGAAAGTGCTGCCAGGATAGTCCCATGCCAGGGCACGGGCAACCCACTCAGCACCAGGCAACAGCTATAGGCTCCCAACTGGAGACTCCCTACTCCTCCAGGAATACCAGGTGTATCCCTGACAGTCCCGACTAGAAGACCCTGAGCAGGGGAGAGGGCAGCCTGGCCCATGGGTCTCCACACAGCCCCTGCTCTTGAGGCAGCGTTGGGAGGGACCCCTGGGGTCAGTCTCAGGCACCCAGCAATCAATGGGAACTGGAGCATGGGCAGTAGATGGCAGTGCCAGGTGCAAGGCAGCTCAGCTGACATGGTATCCAGCAGCCATGGCACAGGCTCAGGGTGGGAGGAAGGCACTCTGTGGCTACATTCTGGGCATGGCCCCCAGCATACATCTCCCCGCCACTAGGAGTGATAGCACTTGCCTCACTGACATGTCTGCCATCAGCCCCAGGCCCCCACTCACTCTCAGCGTTCAGGAAGCGAATGGCCAGCAGCTCCGGCTTGGGGCATTCGTCGGCAAAGTCAGCGTGGGTATTCCAGACCCAGGCGCGGTCACTGCCTGCATTGGGCTTCAGTTCCATCATTGGCGTGACTTCAGGAAAAGAAGCATGTGAGGACAGCAGGGGGGAAGGCAGGGACAGCAGTACCCCACCCCGTCCTCAGCCAGAACATGCCACTCACCAACCCAAGGAGCCACTTCAGCAACATCAGCTGGCCTGGGGCCCAAGAAACAGGCCAGACAAAGTCCCAGGCCTGGATCTCCCCCAAGCCTCTCTGAACATGGCCCACGCCATGGACAACCAGGACCATCCTGAGTCAGGAAGATGATAGCCTCAACGATGGCTTGGTGAGCAGCTTCTGAGCCATTAAGACCACTCAGCACAAATCCCAACTCCAGAAAAGTAGAAGGAAGCAGTAGACCCAGCTCTAATCCCAGGGCAGTGCTCACACCCAGCCCCAGGGCCTGACCTGAACACGCAGCTCCAGAGCCCTGGGCCAGATGTCAGGGTACAAGGCCCAGGGGCCCCTCCTTTCCTGAGGGTACCCACATGCAGACAGGCCTATCTGAAGGTGGGGTCAGCACAAGGCCAGACAGTGGCACACTCACCTAGAAGGGCCCTCGCTCACGTCAAGACAACTGTTCTTAACTCTTACCAACCAGGGAAACCACAAGGGATGAAGCCAACAGTGGACGCCCAGAGTCTGTGACAAATGTGCCTGATGTGGCCTGGAATAAATGTGCCCGCTCCCACTTCTCAGATCAGGCAGGGAGCTGCCCTGCAGGTAATGACTTACCACAAGGCTCCCTGAAGAGCAAGAGCATCCTGGAGCCCATGCCCAGCCCTGCCATCCTGAGTCTGCAGCTCACCACGGTGGTTCCCAAGCCCTCTGCATGCTGTGATGCCATCCTCATCCACACTCCCTACACCCCGAGCCAGGCCACCAGTCTCACACCCCACCTGGCCTCTGCCCACAGTCACCCTTGCCATCCACCAGAGCCAGTGATATGCACCAGGCCCTGCTGGCCACGTGGACAGCTCTCTCAGACAACAACTCTCAGAGCCACAGTCCTGCAGCCCGAACAGGGTTGGGAGCCGCTCGGGTGGCAGGGAGACTTTGCAGAAATGATCCAAACCGGGCTTGAGGATGAGAAGACTCAGCCAGAGCTTGGGCCTCCCCAGGAGCAGACAGGTAGAGTCGTGGAGTGAGGCAAGAGACAGCTGACACAGGGCCCTGTCCCTTTCTTGGGGCCTGTGCAAACCCGCCCATCCTTCTGCAGCACCCTCAAGGGCCATTTCAGTCAGCAGTTACCCCATGTGCCCAGGATGGGGGGCCCTTGCCCCACCAGACACACATTATGCTCAGCAAATAGACATGGCATCAGGAGGTTCACTGAGGGACACCTCAGAACATGCGTGTTTCTCGATATGCCACCAGCAGGAGTGCTACAAGCTCAACTTGGGGACAGCCAGAGCCAGACACAGGACAAACTACTGCCACTCTTTCCCAGGCCAGGCCTCATGTGGACCCCTTGCAGGGTGGCCAGGGCTCACAGCTCTGCCAAGGACTTGGTGGCCACCTTGTCCCCAGCTCCTCTGCTTCGCTTCTTCCCCAGGGGACATCTTGGTGACAGTAGAACACACCACAGAGTGGGGAGGCTGCCACCCAGGCCCCCTCACTTCCCAGACACCCCCACACACACCACCCAGACACTGTACACACTTACATACCCAGGCACCACACACACGCTTAAACACACCAGACACCAAACACCACACAGACATGTATGTGTGCACAAAGAGCTGGCACCTGCCTCCCTGCAGTGATCGCTCACGCCCAAGTCTGGCCTGAGGCCCACACCATCCTGCCAGGGCCGTTTGCTGGCTCCACACCACTACAAGCTTCGCTGCAGGCCTGAGTAGGCAGTTCAGGTTCCCAGTCGGCCCCACAAGACTCTTTCTGAAGGACCCCAGCTGACCCGACAGAGAGCTTTAGGCCTAGTGGAAATGCAAGCCTGGAGACACCTACTGTAGTGGTTGGCGCAGATCTTCAGAGTTTTGTCCCTCCTCATGAGGAGGCGAATGGTCCCCTTCTCCTTGTGCTTCAGGAGCTTGACATCACCCGTACCTCGCTCCTTCCACTCTGGGAGGTCGTTCTCAGAAGCAAATCGGAAAAGCTTTGCCCGCCTGCAAAAAGCCAACAAATGAGAGCTCAGACGTACAAAGGGGACACATGTACACAACGCTTACTCGGAAGATCACGACACAACTCTGCATTGCTGGACCCCCTTCCCACAAGTTGCCCCTTCCTTCTCCAGGATCCAAGAACTACCCGGTAAAATATCACCCAGGGCAGGTGTAGTGGTTCCCACCCATAATCCCAACATTTTGGGAAGTTGAGGCAAGAGGACTGCTTGAGGCCAGAAGTTCGAGACCCGCCTTGGCAACATACCAAGACCTTACCTTTACAAAAAATACTTAAAAAAAAAAAAAAGACAAAAACATCCAAAAAAGCATAACAGCCCAACAAGTTTCAGGACATTTTTATTCCACAACCAAAAAAGGACACCTACAGTCATGACGCTTTCCCCAACACACACACCTGACATCTGAGTAGAGACTGACAAACAGCCCCAAGTGGGCCAAGAAGCCCCTGGGGTGCCATGCAGGGGCACTCCAATCCCTAGAGCTATGGGGACAGGGTGGATCAGGCACAGGCTGAGGACCCTGTACCACATCCCACCTGCCCTCAACTGCAAGATGTCCCCTGTTCCCCTGACTTCCAACCCAGAGAGGGAGCGCAGGAGTCTGTTGGGCAACAGGCCCCGGGCCACCCCCGGCCTTCGTGTCCAGGCAGCCCTCCTGCCAGGGACCTGAGGCCCTCCCTCTGCACCCAGCTCTGCCTGTCCCTCTCCCACAGAAGGCACTGCTCTTCCCCCAGGCAATTCCACCGGGGAGACTGTATCTTCATGAGACTTCCTGAAAGGACGGCCCCTGAAGCTTCACCAAAGGACCAGACATAAGGCCAAGCTGCAGGACCTGCTTCCCTCAGGGAGGGCCCAGGCCCGGGACCCCACTTCCCACCCCATGTAGGCTGAGGCAGCAGTGGCAAGCACCACCTCAACCCAGGAGGAGCCACCTGCCACACAAAAGCTGCAGTGTCATCTAGGCAAGGATGAGACCTGACAACCCAGGGGCTTCAGGGAGACCAAAGGGACACACGTGACTATCCTTTCTCAGGCCTTCCGCTTAGGCTCCCTTCCTTGGAGGGAGTGCTCACAGTGGGGATGAGCATTTCTGCTTCCTTCTCCCACCCTAGAGCAACCAAACCTTAACCTGGCGTCCTGAAGCAACTTAAGAGTAGGCAATTCTATGAACCTGAACAGGTAATCTACACCCTCATTTTCACTAACTAAACCTAAGGTTCACTGAGATCCAGGTTACAGGCAACAGGCCAGCCTCTTCGACACTGTTGTCACAAGACATAACGCTCCTACAGCTCATGGCAGCTCCTCACTGTGGTCTGTCAAGAAGCACATGTACAGGAATCTTCAAAAAGCAATCTTCCTAACTAAATCAGCACCCATCTTCCACTTGCAACTGCAGGTGTTATTTTGTGCATTAGAAACGCCAAATTGGAAATTTATAAACATAAGACTGCCAAAAAGAGCTGTGTCAAAAAAGTGGCCAAGATTTCCTGCTCAACTAAGGGAGACCCGTGAGTCCTTGGCAGTGGAGTGGCCAGTGGACACAAGACTGGCCACAGGGTAGCATCGAAGAATGAGTCAGTTTTCCCCGTGGGATTAGTCATCATGCAGTCCCAGGTCCTTTCTTCAAACAGCCTCAGTCTGATTAAAAAAAGTCAGGCCAGGATCTTGATACTCATAAATTGTCATTTCAGCCTTACACTAAAGACTTCTGTTGCTAGAACAACCTACTTACATCTTAAAAAGTTCCTCTTCATCTTCCTCCAGAGTTTTAATTTCTTGCTCAGGAAGAGAAACTATCGGCTCAAACTGGGGGTCATGGTTGGATTCATCTGCATTCTCAGTGGAGGTGTCGTGGTCCTCATGAGTGTCCTGTGGAGGGAGATGCAAAGGTGATGCTGCTGTCCATGGACCCACAAACTCCAGGCACATCTGTGCAGACTGAAGGAGTTCCCAACACTCTACAAGGTGCCAAGGGGCCTGGGAGGAACTGCGTCATCTCTGAGTCTCAGTTTCCCCTCACCTGCTGTGTGAAGATCAAAGGACACAAAGGTGGACGGAAATGGATCTCAAGAAGCCTGCTTGCTACCTTAAAGAGACAACCCCTTCAGTTCCTATTAAACAGGAAACCGTGTTGCTTGCAGGAAAGAAAAATAGTTTGCTGCAAAGCTATTATGTGTAATGGCATTCACAGCTCTATCAGCAATCTTTTCCTAGTTCAGAAAACGAAGGTGATAAGCAAATCTGACTGTTGAAAGTGGTAAAATCCAGACCCAAGTTACAGGATAACAGGGAACAAATCACACTTTAAGTCTAAGTCTACAGAACACGTGCCTTGGCGACTCCGCAAGTCCATGAGCGACCTCAAGACTCCACACACTCAAATCTGAAGGGAAACACGAGCCACCCC